TTAATAAATAAATTATTTGTAAATTTTGCTATGTTTTTACTTAATAATGACTACCCCATTATTTATAGATGCCCAGCAGGTGCTAAAGGTCAACGGTTGCTAATAAAAATAACATGCATCTTGACCATTAGTTGTTTTTTAAAGGGACCATTAAAATAACTGTTTTATTTTACAGTAAAATATTAAAACTTCTTGTACCAAGCATTAAAGTACTTTTATTATTAATTTATTCTTTTCCGTTACATTTTCTTTTGTTCTGTGTGCGAAATTGCAATGTAAATAAATATTTAAGAATTAATATCAGACAACCGTTGTTGCTTCGAAATAATTTTTTTAAAACTTTTTTATTGTAAATATTCCTTTTTCAAAATCAGGATTACAAGGATTTTTATAAATTGAAATAGGATAAGCCAATAGGGATTCAGAGATGGCTAGTTAATATCTACGTTTCTAATTTGCATAATCTATATAAATCTGTTTACGAAGATCGCAAGATATTTAAAACGCTCTTATTTAGTAATTGATATCCTAGATGCGAATATTCAAAATTTCATGAAAAAAGAACCAACTTATTACCAATCCTTTATTAAAAATATTAAGTTTCAATTAAACATTAATTCCGTAAAGAATTGTAATTATATACTAAATTCTTAGCACGCCGTAAAAAATACATCTTCAAATATAAGGAAACTTTTTCGGTTTTTGAGGAAACTGTTTCCTAGTATGTACTCCGAGCAAGCATTTCGTCAAAGTGATGACATAACTATCGTCACTTCTTCCAGGAAAGAAGTTTCGTCAAATAAAAGAAATATTTCGTTATTCTATATTTCCCCCCCAAAAAATATAAATGAAAAGTAATAATAATAAGAAAACCTCATAGTGCCTAATGTATATAATTTTTCAAACAATTCTTTATCTTAGGCAGTATATAGATGGATCTGATCAATGTCACCCTAAAAAAATTAGAGCAGAGAAATAAATTATACCCTTGCCCAAAACGGGGTTTGAACCTCGGTTCTTCCTGGCACAAGGCAGACTCTGAACAACATGCAGCCAGTCGGCGTGATTCGTAGCTTTATTTTTGATTATCTAATCTTTATTCTAATTTCGTCATTCTAGTTAACGATTTCCCACAATGCAATACGATAATGGTTTCGAGTTAAGGAAACATTTTCCTCACAGATTTGAGAGTTCAGGCTTCGTCATAAACCACTTGATTTTGTGACGAAATTATTCTTGAAAATAACGAAATACTGCTTATAAGCACACCGGACAAAAAATTAGTCACCATTAGAAAAATCATGTAAAACATAATTTAATAACGTGTAACATCACCTCTGGATTTGATAACCTCCTGGATTCGATTAGGAAGGGAGTCCACAAGGTTTTGCAGGTATGTCGAATATCTAGTTTAAGCCACTAGCTGGGGATTTGATCCCACAAATTTTGAAGGCCAGTCGAGATGTAATTGAGTGTCTGAGTGTTCATAAAAGCAGTCGCATATTCTTCCAGCCCGATGATGTATGCTGTTGTCATCTTAAAAAATAGGGGTATCGTCAGCATACTCTTCATGAATATGTTCACTGAAATGCAACACCTGATCATTCAGAGTGTGCAAATAAGCATGTTGGTTCAATTCAGTGGCCACCTCAGTGAGGGAACTCAAGCCATAGTAAGAAAAACACCCCCAAAACATGACAAACCCACCTCCGTCTTGAACCTAACCTTGCACACAGTCAGGATAAAATGTTTCATCTGGTCTTCCATGCACTCGACGACGTGCGTCATTTGAATAAAGGCAAAAACGTGATTCGTCAGACCATATCACATTCCGACAAGCAGCTGTCCACGTTCGGTGACTTCTAGCCCACTGAAGTTGCAAAGCTTTATGCGATTGTGTGAGCAATGGCCTCTTGGGAGGTGTTCGACTCCAAATGTTCTTTGCATGCAGCTCCCGTCTCAATGGTTTCTCCCTAACAGGTAGGGATGGACCTTCATTCACTAACTGAAGCAACTTCTGTCTTGTTTGGAAGCGATTTTGATTGACAAGTCGAGAAGCACGTCTCCGGTCCCTTTCAAGCAGGATCTTTTTCCAGCTACAATTCTGATGTCGTCTTTCGTGACAACGTGTATTACACCACAGTTTGTTAACACGTTGAACAGTCCGCGTCGAAACTCCAACAAATCCAGCATCTTCATTCACCGTATGACCACGATCAGGGCTAAACACAATTGCCCCTTTTTGCCACTCGGTCACATCCTTACACTTAACCATATTTACACGCGACTTCCGCTTAAAACAAACTATCCCACTGATGGCTATTTGCCTTTGATCACGTTGAGGCAGTGGGTACGCTGTTGAGCACGCCATTTTACTACTGTGTCATCTAAGGAAACCTAACGATTTATCAGTGCTTGTGGGCTAGGATGACTAATTTTTTGTCCAATGAGCTATTTCTGAAAGTATACTGAAATTACAAGTAGGTTTATAGAATTTTAAGCGGATTTCGGAATCAAAACATTAAATAATAAACTGCCACATAAGCAATTACAAGAATAGGGAAAAGGAATGAAATGTATTAAAAATAACTCATTTGAATTAGGTAATTATTTTGTAAAGAAATTGAACCATGCACTAGATTCTTAATATTAAATTTGAAAGAATTAACTACATTTTTAAATAATTTTTAAATCAAAATAATTTAAATGAACAATTCAAACATAATTTAAAAATAAAAACGCTGATAAAAAGTCATAAATAATTTTTTATCTTCTATTTTTTATCTCAGCATGAATCACCCAAATTTCATTTTTGTCAGCAAACAAAATATGTATATATATTTTTAAATACAGTTTGTCTATTGATTTTGCACAATTTTTAAAATATAGGCAAAATCTATATTGCTATTTATGATAACAAACATTAAAATCAGTTATCTATTTTTATTGCAATAGCTATTGCTATAAACTAGAAACTAAAGCGAACTATTGCTATAAACTAGTTTGTACTTTCTGAAGTGTTTTAATCTGCTTCTTTTATTCAAAAAAGAAAAAATATTCACATAAAAATTAATTCCAAACTCATGCCATTCTATGTATTTTTTTCTCCAAAAATTGGGCAGATTCTCTCACATTTTTAAACAATAACTTTAAGAAAAATGGAAAATATCAGCATTCTTGGGTATGAAGTTGTAGTACTACAACAAAAGTATGAAAATTAATCTAATCTAAAATCATTTTTTTTATATGCATTTAACAATTTTGAAAAAGAAAATTTTAAAGTTTTTAAAATACCATTCGTATAGCTACCATTATTATCAATTATATAATCTTGATAACAATCATAATTGGAAAAATAAATATTGATGATATTACTGATCAAAAGAGTTTTTCTGTAGAATTCTTGAGTTTAACTGTAGAATAAAAAGAAAGCAACTTTTATTCAAGAATTCAAAACTTAGATTTTAGAATACCATAAAATCTAAATGAAATTAGTTTATTTAAATTTCTAAACAGAAATAGAAATACGAAGTCACTAAAATACTATGTCAATAAGAACTAATCGTTGTATTAGACATATAGCCGCAGGATTCTTTGTTCTGGAGAAAGCCAAATACTCAGCAAGAATATCAATGGTGTACAATTCCAGTTTTCTCAGATTTTGCATATGAGTTCTTTACTGATTCAAAGCATTTACAGGCAAAGTTTGCTCGAAGTAAACATTTGCATATGATCTACGTGAAAGCGTTAAAGTAAATCGATAAAATTTTTAAATTATTCACAAAACTTGAACCCAATGTTAGCTTTAATAATTAACAATATATAACAGCATTTGTAATTTAATTTTAACCATCTTGCCAGAGATTTCAATTAACAATATTTTTATTCATGTCAAGTTTGCAAGATTTTTATTCATGTTTGTTAAAATTACTTTTAATTTATAAAATATATTAAATTTTTAATAAAATTGTTAACTGAAATATCATTGAAAAAAGTAGCGAAACTTTGATAATCTTAAAATGTTATTTATGGTTTGTTTTTTAGTAAAATTATTATACTTGTAAGTTTAGTTTATTAAAAGAGTAATTAATAAATAATGTTAAATTTTTATTCTGTTCATTATAATGTCATTGAAAAAATTAACGAAAAAATTTGAGGAACTTCAAAAAACTTTTACAGTTTATTTCTTAGAAAAATTATAATGCTTGCATATTTAATTTCTTAATATGATAATTAATGATAAATTTTTAATCAGTTTCCTGAAATATCATTTAAAAGTGCAATGTTAATTTCATGAATTTTAAATATCGTTTATAATTTGTTTTCCGATAAAATTAATACACTTGTAAATTTGTATCTTTCTTAACATAGTAACTGATATGCATTGGTTAAATTTTAAATCATCTCACTAAGAGAGCGATGAAGCGATTAACGATAATTTGATTAACTTAAAGTATCGTTAACAGTTTTTTTCTAGTATAGTTAATATACTTGTATATTTATTTTCTTAGCATAATTATTAATGTTTAGTATTATATTTTTAATTTGTTTGCTGAAATATTATTGAAAAGAGCAATGATAAATTGATGAACTATAAATATCCTTTAGAGTTTGTTTTCTATTAGAATTATTATGCTTGTAAATTCAGTTTCTTCTTAATATATAGATTAATATAAGCTGTTAATTTTTTATTCTATTTATTGAAAAGAGTGACGATAATTTGATGAACCTGAAATATCCTTTACAACTTATTTTCTAGTAACTATACTACTCTACTCTAGTACTATATTCGCAAATTTAGTATGATTTATAAATATATGTTTGTTTTATTGCACATGAAATTGCACAATGAAAATTATTGAAGAACTTAAATCAAATGATCTCAAAAGTAAAGCAAATCACAGTAATCAGCATTTTATGTGTATTATTTCACAATAAGCATGCTCAATAATTTGAAAAAAAATATTGTATTCTAATCCCTTTTTTATTTTCATTTTCAGAATCTCAAAAATCAAATTATGACGACAAATGTTTGGGTAGAACAGGTAAAATAATTTTCTTATTCTTATGATATTTTATTTTAGCATACAAAACAATCGTCTTTTTTATTCATGATAGCTTATTTCCTATTATTATAGAAGTAAATATCTAAGTCTATGCGAATATAAGTTCATTGCTCTAATATATTTTCTATAATATTATATTCATGAGCTAATTGCCATTAAGAGACAGTTTATATTTGATAGATCATTTGAAACAACATAAATTGCATGCAGCTAAAGTTAAAGATTGGATTTGCTTCTTACTTATTTGTATTAAGCATTTAAATTCGTTAAAAAAAGCTTTTGACTTTTTATTCTTTAAGAAAAAAAAGTTGAAAATAGAAATATATGGTTTGTTTGATAACTTTTTTGCAAATAAATATATAATTAAGAAATAAGTAAAACTCACTTTCAAATTATATATAAATGTCATCGTAAATGTAAGAAATCTTTTTACAAAATATCTAAAATTGGTTGAGGAAGTATAAAATGATTAATAATTCATACATTTCCTGAATATCTTATAGAATGACAAATAAGAAAGACTAGTCAAACTATATATTCGTTTTCATATTTCATACTTTGAATTTTGCTTCGATAGCTAATATAGGATCCCTAGGCATTCTATACAATGATTGGGCAAACTTCGAATGTTTCATACTATTTATATTTCAAATTTCGTCCAAACCAAATTGTTTGTGTACACCTTTATGCATTTAATACTCGTGAAAGTAATATGCATATTTATCTGCATTTAGTATTTATTTTTGAAGTAAAAAATTTTTCTCATTGCTAAAAATAAAAGTTGAAAATAATATATTTTGAAAAGATTTTCTTCTTATCTTACTTTTATTTAAAAAAATATATTCTCTGTCATAAGACTATGACATTTGTCGAAGAAATAAATTTGAAATAGCTTTTTTTTGAAAATTTGAATTAAAAAGTTTAATTATATAGTAGTAATAATCACTAGATATAAGGAATAAATTTTATAATTTTCAATACATTCATTATTAATATATTTTAAGTTAGTCAGAAAATAAAACAAACATTATGATATTTCAAAACTTTTCCTGCCTTGTGTGCTAAATATAAACATTATGTAATAAAGCCTGTTGTATAATAATAAAACTTATCATCTGAGCAGTAGTAAATTTATCCTCCAGATAAATTTATCATCTATACCTTAATATTTGCTTGCTTAATACGAGATGTCATTTTTAATTTTAGGAATGGAATGATTATAAAATGAGGTGGGATCCAGATGATTATGGCGGTGTAACGAAACTACATGTACCAGCTGAATTAATATGGCTGCCAGACATCGTACTCTACAACAAGTAAGAAACACAACTACATTTCAGACAGAAAATAATAAAACTTAAATTAAGAGAAAATTATCCTGCGATTGGAAAACATCCATATAAGAAAAACATGACTCTTAAGACATGTTTTTCTTATGATAGAAAAACATAGAACAGATATCTATAATCAGAGTATCTCAATAATTATCTCAGGATAGAAGGCTATTGAAAATCAAATTAGAATTAATTAAAAATTCATCCTCTTCATCCCTTTCGAATTTAAGATTTCTAAAGTGATCATGTAATTGAAGAACTGCTCTCTCACTGTACTGACTGCTCATGCAGAAAGAAAAAAAAAGATTTAAAATAGCGAATATTTTAGACCGCAGTAATTTATACTTTAAGCTTTAGTAAACACTATTTTATTCCTTTTTAAAATCCAAACTAAGATAAAATGGAGTAAGATATTGAGGTTGAAGTATGATGTATTTATTTTCATTGCAAGTTCTGAGTTCACTCAAAGAAAAGGTAATTAAATAGATCTAACTAACATAATTTGAATTTAAAATAATCTGATCCGAATTTAATCTGATCCTAATCTAATCTGATCTGAAGGTAAGTATTAGGTATACTTGGGCTTTCATATGATACATCGAGAATTGCAATAATGTCAAAACTACCAAAATATGGTCGAACTTATCGTGCTTCTGGCTCTCTAGTAACACCAAAAAGATAGTAATTTTTTTGGAAGAGCATTGGTGATGATTTTTATAAATTAAACAATATATAATGGTTTTAAAATAGGTGATGAAATTTGGTAATTGTGGCAAAACTTGCTGATTTCATCATGATACCGTATAGTATGGCATAAAAATCAGTTATTTGGTATAATTTACTTTTCAGTTTTGTATCTTTTATTATTTGCATGATAAGAAAAAACTATATATATTTTAAAACCAGAATTTTCAGTAAACAGCATATGAACGGAAAAATTACCTAATGAATGGTTTAAATACTGTATATTTCGTTTTTATTTACCAGAAGTATGATTTTTTCCCCCGAAATATCATTACCATGCAGTACGCTAACTTTAATAGAACATTTTTCTCCGTGGCTGGTAACATTCTTATTGATTTGAGCATTTTAAATTCTAGAAAGTATTCAAAATGCAGAAAACAGAAATAAAAGTGATGCACTTCAAATTTTTAAATAACACATTTTTTTTCAATTTAATACGTTACTTTAAATGTTCCGCTATTTAAGAACGAATAAAAAAAAATTTTTTTTAATATTTTGAATAATTTTAAAAGCATATTCCATTTTTAATTTTTGGTGCAGTTAATTCTTTAAAAAAGTCTACGAATTATAAGAATAATGTATATTTACCCGTTTCGTGTTTAAATTCAATTTATCAAGAATGAAAAGATACACAAAAAAACTAAATTTCTCTTTAATGGCAAGTTTCTCCATTATTCGAATCTTTTGACTCGAGTTTCTAATGTTTCTGTCTCCAATGCTTTGCATTAAAGATTTCTGGACACCAAATAGCTTCAAGTTTAGAAACCATGAAAATTTCGTGTTGAGGCATTCTAATGAGACCTACCCCGAACATAACATTGAAGTCGACATGCTAATGTGACACAAACCATGTCATTAAAGCGAAAGAGAAACGAAGGGAGGAGATTTTGTTTCTTGGAATAAGATAAAGCCCAGTTTTGTCTTAAATAAGACTAGCATGAAATTGTTTTAGATTCATAATAATTTATAATTTGAAGCATTTTCATAAGTGATAATTAAAAAACAGTAGGGGAGAGTGGGGTCAATTGTAACATTTTTTACTTAACTATTTTTAACTAACAAAAAATCCAATATATTATTAGTATTAATTGACAGACGAGTAAAGTAGACTATCCTCTACTAGAAAAAAAAAAAACCTTATTTTAAATGTTATTATATTAGTTATTAACAATTTTTGACAGTCGTGCACTTGTTACAATTGTCCCCACTTACGGGGTCAATTGTAACAGTTCATAAATTCAACTAAAACATAGTTAATTATACATATTATCATAGTTGTGATATATTTTTTTATTGATCAAAATAGTAGTGATATTTTAGGAGTAAAAATAATAATGAGCAGAGACCTAAAGGGTTAAGCTTTTAACTTTAAGGGGTTAAAATTTTTTATTTATGCTGTGAAAGGTGACAAATAAAATAATGCACATGCAACGTAATTTAAATGATATAGGAAACAACCGGTGGTTCTTAAAAAGTTAAATAATGGTTTGTAAGCATAAGATTATTTATTTTCAGCTGTTACAATCGTCCCTTTACTTATTGTTACAATCGTCCCCAAGACGCCATTTCAGCTTCATTTGTTAAAAACAATGCTAGTTAATTAACAAAACTAATCTTTTTTTTTGAAATGTTAATTAAGGTGCCCACTTACATATTCGGTTAATAGTTTTTATTTGTTTAAACAAAATTACTTTGTCGCAATATAATATTCTAATACCAAAGAAAGTACTTACGTAGCGTGAAAATATCTTTTGTGATGTAACTCTTTCAAAAGTACATAAAAATGGTTGCCAGGTTGTGTTAAAAATGGTTGTGTACATGTAGATTTATTAAATACACCTTGTGCGCCACCTAGGAACCAAATCTAGAACCCGACACTCGAAAAATTTTGCTCTGTTACAATCGTACCCTGTTACAATTGACCCCACTCTCCCCTACTGAAAAATATACACTGTAATTTGTATTTCTCTTAAAACTTGTTTAAACGAATTGTTTAGTTAGTCCGGATTCCTGTCGTTTCTGATTTAATCGTAGCAAGCATTTTATTAATGAAGTTTGTTCGAGCAAAAAACCATGCAGACAGTATTAAGTGACCAAAATATCACTCATTTAAAATGTCTTGAAGCTTGCTCAAATTTCGATGAGAAAAAGTCTCGCAACGACAATGGTATGCAAAGAGGATGGAGAACTGACAAAATATCACAAAAATGGGATACGAAATAAACATGCTAAGTAAAAAGTGACAACAATATTATGAAATCAAAACACCAATATTTGTGCAGATACTTTTATTTGTAGCGTATTCTCGAAATATTTGTTTTTGTAAGAATATGATTTTAACTGACGCTTTCTCCGTCACTGTGAAAAATTCCAGATTAAATTACGGTTTAAAGTACTAAAGATTTGGGTGCATCATCCGTAAAATCCATTTTACTATAAATCCATTTTTATCGTTAAATATTGTACCGCAATGTTTACAGTGATATTTATTTAATAAGAGTAATTCAGAAATTTTACTGTAATTATTACTGAAAAAATTACGGGATATCAGATACTATTTTCACTGATTGTACTGATAAAAATGAATTTTACAGTAAGAAGTACCGACACCCAGAATGACGGTGCTTTTTACAGCAATTTGATCCGTAATTTTTACAGTGTATTTTTATTTTAAGTTAAACATAAAAAACAACTATATCAGTTAAAGATAAAAAATAACTTTCACCCATTTATAATATAAACATTGTATGCAGCATGATTTGGTTTTATAAACATTCCATTGTTTTTATAAAAATAATAGAATTTCATTTGCTTTTAAGATAGCGATTTTTTTTCACTCTAATCCAAAAGGCCATTAAATAAAATGCTTCTCCGAAAGAAGTTTAAACAGCACCAACCTTAAATACACTGCTGTAACATTTTCTTAAAATATTTATAAAAAAGACACTCAGCATTTATGAACGTAAAATGTCCTTCAATCGAAGTAAAACGTCCCATAACATGAAACGACAATCTGTCTTAAAGACAAACTCTAAAAAACTATTTTCCTTATTCCTTTCAAGAGCTTTTAAGAAAATCGATCACATGAACTGTATTTGAGGGGAAAAAATTGGGAGGCATTACTTTTCTTGACATAAAGTGAAATTATTTTATCAAAAAACTGAATGAAAATGGTGATTTTGATGCTTTATTCCGTGGTAAGCAAATACAATACAACAATGGTTTCATTTTGTGAAAGTTTAATTTCAAGTATGAAAAAGGATGCTTGAAATAAGGAACCCATGTTCTAGAATGTAAAGAGATATGCAAAGATATTTCGATCATTCCATTTCTCAAAATGTGTTTCATTGTACGCCTTTAACATTGGGATACTTTGACATTTACAACAGTAACAGCGTTTGTGCATGCTGTCAGTTTTCATAAGAAGAAACACATACTGAAACATGCATGCTATAAGTAATTTAGAAATTTATAATAGAAGAATTTCAGCTAAGATGCTTAATTTTTATTTATCGTTTACTAATTATTTCTCATAGAAACCAGTAGCGATCACTTTCTAAATTATGTATTTTAAAAAAGCTTTAGTTTATGTATGAAGGGCTGACATAACAAATTTCTAAAAAAATTTAACCATTAAAACCAACCCATTTGAGTGAGAAAAGGACATAAATATTATCAAAATAAGACGAATCTGAATTTTGGGGCATAAGAAGTGTTAAGTTAATCAAAATCAATTCAATCTGTTTTTGGATAACATAAATGGTGTTTTCATGCACTTAAAACAGCCTTTAAGAGTTCTTCTAAAAGCAGATTTTTGATGATTTTTATATTATCTTTGGTCACATTGACCTTTATAATGATCTTCATAATCTGTCATCTACCGTGTTGATCTTTTTTCTCACTCAAATAACAATATAGAGCCCTAATACATAGTTCTTTATTGTTTCAATTTCTACCAGCATTCTAAAACTGCATATTAAAGGAAGTGATTACGGAACATCTTTCCTGGTGTTAAATAGCAACCTATACAGTAAATAAATGCCTTGGTACAAATTTTTCTCGATAATTCTTTAATCTATGCCATAAGTTCCTTCTTTGCTAAATTATTGTTCTAAGACTATACATGCTGCAATCATTCTCTGATGTTTATATAGTTTTTCACAAAGTTCTCACTTCTTAAATTTTAATAAGTTTTACACAATTATGATGATTAAATTTGGTAGGTTTATAGCGATTAACTGCAACATTTGGCAACAATAGCATTAAGTATATCAGTGTTCAATTCAATATTGAGTTGAGAATTTTGAATTAGTGCCGCTGAAATTGGAACACCCGTTTCTGGAAAAGCATATGGTTAAGATCACATTTTTGAACTTTTGGATTCAAGAAAACCGTGAGAACTAATAGCCGCAAAGTATTCTTCGGCCTTAATGTTGGTTAGGTTTGCTTATGACTTGTGTGCTATTTTAGTAAGTTCATTGTGCTTTGCTTTCTTCTCTTCACTTTGTAATTATATTAATGTTATAATTTTATAAACGTTATTTTTGTAAATAAACTTGTGCCTTTAGAAGGGAAAATTTATTATGAGGCAAATACTTAGTGTTTCGAATCATAAATTCCAAATAGTCAGATTGAAATTAATAGTAAACTCATTAGCTAAGAAGAATTTTCGAAATGCTTCAATCAATTCCTTAGGAAGAATAATAAGTTTAAAATTTTAAATGTTTTAAATATCTGCCGGCTTGGAATCTATGGAATTTATTATTTATTCTGATTTATTGTATGAATTACTTTCAAAGCTTACAAAATATGAAAATAATAGTATCATCTCAAAAATGCATATCATGTAAATAAAAACTTAAAGTTTTATTAATATATAAATAATATTATAATACATCTTATTTGACTCCATACAATGAAAATGTTAACTTTGAAATAATCTTTTAAATCTAATGAAACAAAACTGAGTTTAAAAGTTAACTAGTTTTAAAACTAAGTAATTTGAAGCCTTCTATCAGCTTTTCTTCATGTGTTATGGTTCTAAAAGAGTTATGAAACAAAAAAGAAAAAAAACAATTTGCAAAATGTTTTTTAAGCGTTTGAAACTTTTTCAAAACTTATTTTATTGAAATTTTATCGGAGGAAGCAAGCTATTTTATGCACTAAGGAGCTTTCAAATTTAAATAAAAAAAATTTATTACCTTTGCAAGCTTATAAAGGAGTTTTAGGTAAAACGAATGGAAAAAAATAGCTATTTTAAGAATAATGCCTTTAAGTTTTAATATAAAAAATTAAAACATTTAAATTTTACTGCATGTATAATTACAGATTTTAAATTTCTTCTCAACATTCTTCAGGGCAAAAAATATTTATTATTTTAAGAAACCAGTCAGTTCTTTTGAGAAAGGGAGTGCATATACTACAAAATAAAAGCTTTGATTCGAATTAAATGCACTCAAACTAAGTTTTTTTTTTGTTGTTGTTTCTGAAAACGGCTGTGATAACACCCGTGATATTTTTGCAATTGAAGGTTGGTTTTATTTGAATAGTGATCCAAGTACATTAACTGGAAAATAAAATTAAACTCATTTTTATGTTCATGCAAGTCTATTTTACCTAAAAATATTATACATCTAGCTTATAGTTTGTTATAAAACAGAGGACAGCATAACTCACACAAAGCAATACATTCATTAGAGTAATGCTTTGTATAACATTAAGCTCTGTATCTCAAGTACCATGATATAAAAAAGGTCGACATTTGTTGAAAAAACTAAATTTCGATAAATGTGTGTGTGTGGGGGGGAAACAAAGGTGTAACTGAATTTGCACTGTAAGTACAAACAAAACTATGGGATATAAGATAAACACCATATTTATAACAACATTTCCTTTTGATTCCAGTGCAGATGGAAACTACGAAGTGACAATTATGACCAAAGCGATTCTCCACTCTGACGGGATGGTATATTGGAAGCCTCCAGCCATCTACAAGAGCTCTTGCCTCATGGACGTCGAATATTTCCCATTCGACGAGCAAACATGCTTTATGAAGTTTGGATCCTGGACATACGACGGATACACGGTAACTGCCATGATTCATTTAGGTCCAAACACTGATTAGCACTTCCTCACTAAAGGATACTACTAGTTTAGCAAATAATATACTAGAGATTGTATTTAGTTACTTGATTATGATCTAGCTGGAAGGAGCATAATGCAATTTTTTTTCCTCTCGAAATCTTCCTTTCCCCGGGAATTTTCATCTCATGGGCATTGATCCGTAATAACGTACTTCTTTCCTATTACTTAGATATCTTATTGATTTTTCTCTATGTCTCCGGAGATTAGTAGTATGTAAGCATAACTTTGGAATCTCAGCTTTTATATGTAGTTGAAGGAATATTTGGTTAGCCGTTATAAGAAATAGATTTCTTGAACGAAAAATGTGCTCCTAACCTTTTTTATAATGGCATATTTCACTCAGTCTTGTTTTTTTTTCCTTTTCTTAAAACGTTTCTAAACTCTCAAAAGCATTTACAAGGAAGTGTTTTTTTTTGTTTTTATAAAATTTAGACTGTAATCTCAGCAGACTTTCTTTGCTTTAAATTTATTTTTGAGTGGATTTTTATTTATGTATGTTTTTCTTCTATGAAAAATCTTCCATGTGTTTAAATATTTATAAAATGAAGGTAATGTGTAATATAAAAAACTTTCACATACTATATAATATCAATGTCTTATAAAGTTTTGGTAGGGTAAATTAACCAGTGAAGGAACAGTTAAGCTTCGCTTGCCTTCTAAAAAACCATATTAATTTCAAAATTCGTAATTTTAGTTAAATGACAGTGTCAACATATTTGTTACTAATTGCAAATTATGTAAAAAAATTGTAGAGAACTTACATAATATTGTTTTAAAGTTTTGGAGGTTCAAATAACAAGTAGTAAGAAGACCAAGTGAAGGAACAGCTCTTACCAGTGAGTGAACACCAAGTAAAGGAACACTTAATTTTGGTTATTTTTTAATACCCTTTATGAATTTATAAGCCATAAAAATATTTAAAAACAAGCCTATTCTTGAAATTATAACATATAAATACTTGGAAAATGTTAACTTTTTTTTGTAATCATGAATTGAAATTAAAGTGTCAATATATTAACACATACTGTTCATCCACTGGGAACATGCCTATTCCCTCACTGGTTAGAAGTTGTTTTTCGTATTTTTAACATACTTTTGATGCGGAACATCACTAACGGTGCATGAAAATTAAAGTTTATATTTTATTTTCATTAACTCAGAAAAAAAAACAGTAAAGGAACACTTGTTCCTTCACTGGTTTTTCATCGTTTGGTAATCCTTACAAGGCTACCC